CTGTTATAGAAGCGCTGCAGCAGCAGGGGCGGCTGCATGCGCAGCAGGTTGAAGCTTTGCTTGCTGCTGCTGTTGCTGCTGCTGCTCCTGCTGCTGCTCCTGCTGCTGCTGCTGCTGCGGGGGGGGGAGCAGCAGCAGACAGCAGCAGCAGCAGCAGCTTGCAGCAGCAAAAAAATAAAAAAAGAAAAAGATCATCTTCATCAGATTCAGACAGAAAGAAAAAGAAAAAACATAAAAAACATAAAAAACATAAAAAAACAAAAGGTAAAATAAATTAGGGTTTAGGGTTTAGGGTTTAGGGTTTAGGGTTTTGCTGCTGAAGGAGGAGATTTTGTGTTTTGGGGTTTTCTTTGCAGGCAAGAAGAAGCGGAAGAGAGCAAGCAGCAGCAGCAGCAGCAGCAGCAGCAGCAGCAGCAGCAGCGAGGATGAGAAGGAGACAGTTAAGCCTGCTGCTGCTGCTGCTGCTGCAGTTTCGCCTGGTGCAGCAGCGGGAGCAGCAGCAGCAGAAGCAGCAGCAACAGCAGCAGCAGCAGCAGCAGCAAAGGCAGCAGCAAGACCCAATGTTGCTGTCCTAGAGGCTGCAGCAGCTGAGATACAACACAGTACGTAGACAAACTGCAGCAGCAGCAGCAAGAGCAGCAGCAGCAACAGCAGCAGCAGCAGCAGCAGCAGCAGCAGCAACAGTAACTAAGTGAAGCAAAAGTATTATCCAGATTATGTATATTTTCTGTTGCTTGAAAAAATATTTTTTATGGTTTCGAGTTTCTGAGGGTTTAGTTTTTCTTAGGGTTTAGGGTTTACGAGGGTTTAGGGTTTACGAGGGTTTAGGGTTTACGAGGGTTTAGGGTTTACGAGGGTTTAGGGTTTTGTTGCTGCAGAAACAGAAGAAAAAGAAGAAAGCTCTTCTGAGGATGAAATGATGGGCCCCAGGCCGATGGAAGTTACAAACAAATTAGCACAAAAAAACGTCGAGTAAACCCTAAACCCTAAACCCTAAACCCTAAACCCTAGAAAACCCTAGTTTTTTTTTTTTTGAGTTGAGGAGTTTTAAACCCTAAACCCTAAAGTATATATATATGTTTATATTTATTTATTCTGTTGAATATGCTTGGAGTTACAAACCCTAAACCCTTTTTTTTCACAAAAAAAAATAACGAGTAAGGTTTTTTAAAAAAATAAGGGTTTAGGGTTTAGGGTTTAGGGTTTAGGGTTTGGGGTGTATGTACAGCTACGGGTTTGCACTGCGGCCTGGAGAAGGTGAAGCCATCGCGCAGTTCGTGCAAGAGGGTAAACGTATTCCTAGAAGAGGAGAGGTAATTAGGGTTTAGGGTTTATGAGGGTTTAGGGTTTATGAGGGTTTAGGGTTTATGAGGGTTTAGGGTTTATGAGGGTTTGTGAGGGTTTATGAGGGTTTAGGGTTTTCTGGGGTTTGCTATGCAGAACAACTCCTTGGTGGTTCAATGAATAGATTAGGGTTTAGAGTTTAGGGTTTGTGTGTTTAGAGGTATATGGTTTATTCCCTGCTTGCGTAGACTCATACTTCATCTTCTAGGGTTTAGGGTCTAGGGTTTAGGGTTTAGGGTTTAGGGTTTAGGGTTTAGGGTTTGCGGGTGTAGGTGGGGCTAACCGCCGAAGAAATTTCAAATTTTGAAAATCTTGGATATGTTATGAGTGGATCCAGGTTAGACCCTAAACCCTAAACCCTAAACCCTAAACCCTAAACCCTAAACCCTAGAAACCCTAAACCCTAGATACGCTAAACCCTAGATACCCTAAACCCTAGATCCTCGTTTTTTTTTGGGGTTCTTGGGGGCCTCCCTAAACCCTAAAACCCTAAACCCTTAAACCCTAAACCCCTAAACCCTTAAACCCTAAACCCTTAAACCTAAACCCTAAAACCCTAAACCCTTAATAAGGATAAAGACTTCTTCTGTATCAGAATTCTACAAACCCTAAACACTAAACCCTACATACAATATAAATAAATATATATATATATATATATATATATATATATATATATATATATATATAT